ATAGTGGCTAGATAAGGTGCTATATTTATTATACATAAAATAACTTTAACGGAAATCGACCATAAATCTGCCGTTTTCTTAATATCAATAGTTTTAAATTATTTAACGATATCTTTTGGCAGTACTCTATGGAATTTAAAAGTATTTGAACAAGCCTTTACATTTTCTTTGAGCAATGATTCGGCGACAGTAGAAGAGACAGAGAAGAGTTTAATAATTTAGTTGTCAAAAAAGGAGCATCAGTGAAATGTCTCTCAAAAGCCACAGCAAGTTCTTGATCAGATCGAGTTAAATTATTGTTAACATTCAATTGAAAATCCGAGTTGCGCGGTTTGACCTTGCCCGTTCCACTATTTATTATTCTCCAGGTCATTTTAATTTTGTTAGATGCAGTTTTAATTTTGTTACTTAAATGTAAAGTCTAGCACTTTTTTAAATATTTTAGAATAGGTTTTTACATAATCTCTAAATACGAGTATAACACTACTATTATATGATCTTTCATTATAAAGCTCGTATCACTTTCGCCTACTTTTATAAATTCCTACCGTTGCCCATTCATTTAATAATTTGCGACTGTTAAAAGAGAAAGTTTTAGAAGTAAATATCCTACTAAATTCAAAAGTTATAACTTTAAAAAACATACCATACAAATAACTAGCACTATTTTTAAACGAAAGTGATGGAAGTCTTTTTATTATATTACTTCTAAACCTTTCCAAGCGATGTTCATTTATTGGAACAAACACAACTTCCTTATTTTTCTGTTTCTTGTGTATGTAAGGCAATGATACCAACTGTCCACAGTGATCTGAACTTAAATTTTGAATAATTGATTTATGCAAGGGCTTAACATCTGTAAAAATATTATCTATACAGGTCGCACTAGGCCCAGCAATATGTGTTGGTTCTAAGAATAAATTAACAAGATTATACGATTTAAATAATGAGCTAAACTTAATACTAATGGAAGAAGTTTCAAGAAGATTGATGTTAAAGTCTCCACATATTACAACAGACTTGTTCTGTTTACTAAGTTTGAGTAAAACTTCTTGCACAATCCTTTCAAAATAGTCATAAGTAGCACATGGGGGTCTGTAAACACTTACAACAATGAGGTGCTCGAGCTTGACACAAGCCATTTCTACAGTTCGCTCAACAGAGAGGCTCACTATATCCTTACGTTCTTGATATAATAATGATTTATCTGCTAGTATTAAGGAGCCACCACGTAAACTTTTTTCTCTATTGAAGGAACTGACCACCTGGTGATTTCTGAAATTAAACATGAAATTATAATCTTTTAGCCAATGTTCAGTAATACAAAGGATATGTATGTTGTTACTGTTTAAAAACAATTCAACTTCTAATTCTTTGCCCATCATGCCTTGTATATTTTGATGCACCAGGTGTAAACAATTTTTATTACTTATTTGTGGGCTGCGTTCAAAGTTAATTAAACTCATATTATTGTTAGAGATTGCTTCTATTGTCGCATTTACTAATTTAAATTAGTTGGAACTGATTCCAAATTAATCGTCAAATAATTATCCTGCTCAATAAAAGCAGTCTTGGTAGCCAAAATCTTGGCTGAGTTAAAAAGTAAATAATAAGATAGCACATTTGCTACCAGCCTTAAATTATATTTGGATAGGTAATACCTATCGTTTGTCTAAATCTTTTTTATTAAATTATTTATGTCAAATAAAGGAAATTTGTCATTATTATCATTACATTTATATGTCAAATTTAAATTATTATTGCATATTAAATTATTCATTTGTATATTTAAATTATGTCTTACATTATTTTCCTGTGGCAATCCCTGTATGTAAGGCAGTGTGAACAGGACAATTTTGTGTACATTTAAGTTATTAAGTTGCTCAATATATCCTTATAACTGTTTGTTGTTTACACTGCCTCTTCTACCAACAAAATTATTATTGTACTATTTAGGCAAAATTTAGTAACTATAATTTTATTTAAGATGTCACTAAAAGATGCTCCAGGCATGCGGCAATTTGTAATTTTTTGTCCCTTTAAAGAGTAATTTAAAGTTATGCCTAGATTTTTCCCATGTCATCGCTATACACAATTATATTATTTTTGTTAATATTTGGATTATTTTTTATTTTAAGCTCCTCTGCTATGGCACTGTCATAGAGTTTTGGTGGTGGTATAATATTATCAGCACACACCGACTCTGAAGAAGTTGGTATTGAATGCTGACACTCACATTGATGTTTAACTAAGGAGTCAAAACGCTCCTCATTATATTTACATGTTTTTACCAGATTATCCATAGCCAATATGTGTTCTTTTATTTCGTTTTGGGCTGATTTATATTTATTGGACACAATTTGAAGGGAGTTTGTAAGAGATAATATTTCTAATTTAAGGCACTCTACGTCAGTCTCCTTGTTTTATGTTATCCACCTCAATTGAATACAACTTAAGTTCATATATCAATGCTTGCTTTTCTTTACATAAATTAACACAATTTTTGGTATTAATCTTATTTTTTATTAATTTTAGTACTTTCCTTATGTATTTATTAACTTTTATGTACTTATTCAATTTGGTTTTACTTCAATTAATCCTTACTATGTTTCCTGAAGTCGAAGAATCGTCCCCATTCAAATCTATTGTTGCAGATTGCTGTAAAATTCTTGATGTATTACATTGCACGAGCTCAGAGAACAGACTTTGAGTCTGGGAGGCGTTAATATTATCTATATAAGTTTTAAATTGTGTTATTTGCTCATGAGCCTCATTCAACTGTAACTCCAATGCAGCAACGACTCTGAGAGATTCTTCATATTCCTTGCTGCATCGGTCAAACTCATTAACCGTTCCCTGTAGCTGATCTCTTCCTTTTAAAACACTTGTGTATTCTGTATATAACTTAACCATATCACATTTCAATTTTGTGTTTTTGGCAATTATGCTATTTCTTTTTCATTATCATCCCTTTCCTTAAGCAACAGCTCACACCGCTCCCTGGTTCTATGAAAATTCATTTAAAAATTGTATAAACAAAATTATTGTTAAGTGAAATATGTTTAAAAAAAGTCCTGCTCAGTTTCTTGCTAGTTCTTCCCAGGGCAGAGGTATTTTCCGAACCAGTGGTAAATAAAAAATGACTTTCAATAAGCATTACGTAATAATCAATATTAAATAAAAAATCATTTTGCTCTATTCTATTCGAGTCGCTAGTTTTAAATGTTATTTTAAAATGAATTTACCTACGTGTTGGTATACAATTTTTTTAAATATTTACCCATTAATATAAAACTTCCAAATAACCGAATAATATAACTTTATAACGATATACCGTTTTTAGCGGGTTTTCGCTATTGGTACTGTGCATGTTGACGGTACAGGCTCGATGAGCCGCCATTTCTAATTCCATTCTTGAACTGTACGAAGTGTATATAACAATAAATCTGAGAAATAACCTAAAATAAGCATTAAAGTGTCAGCGTCAGTGTCAAAAGAGACAACAACAAACAACATTTGCGTGTTTAAAACGTAGTGATATTAAACTCTTTACTTTATTTACTTATAACATCCCTGATCTTTAAATATAATAAACAATAGTCTCCAAATTTTTACATTGATATACGGCACGAATTAGTTTTTTTCCTCAAAGAACGTGGTTGACACATATATAGCCAGCGGCTATGATGTGTTTTATCCCACGAATTCGCTTAAAACGAAACACCTACAACTTTACAATGACAATTAACAACGCCACTTGAAAGAACGGTTTAAGGTTTGGAATGTGTCACAGAATGTACACTTTTGTCGCATTACTCTAACACGCAAAAAGGTCAAAGGAATTATCTACTCTTCTTATCTGTCATCATCAGGCTGTAAAAGTCTACTGCAAGAAATGAACCTCTTAGACTGTAGAAGTGATTTGCTATAATTTAGACGTGGTAGAGCCATGCTGCAGCTATATTTCTGGTATAGTTGTAACACGAATGGGTCGGCTCGACCGGGGAAGGACCACGCTCTCACAGAATACCAGCGTAAAATAGCAGCTTAATGCTGTGTTTCATATGGTGAGTGTAGAGAACCGGAGACCCTTTTTACTGGAAACGAGGCATTCCATCTTAGTCCTCACGGGTGACAACGCATCTGCGTTTTGATTCGTAATCGAGGATAAATGTAGATGTCTATGGGCCACAGCAACCACTTACCATCAGGTGGACTGTGTGCTCGTTTGTCACCCTTATCCTATAAAAAAAAATTGTCATGTTTATGCCAATTTACACAATATCCTTATTAATTATAGCCTATGTGTTGTTCTGATGTATGAGCTATATAATTGTAAAGTTTCATTAAAATCCATTCAGTAGTTTTTGCGTGGAAGAGTAACAAACATCCATACATCCTCACAAACTTTCACATTTATAATATTAGTAGGAAGTAGGATAGCAGGGTAATATTGAACTAATACGACACCATCGGTGTTGGAATAATCCATACACTTGATCGATTTCATGACGAAATTACTACTTATAATTATAAAAATATCTATGTTATTATTGTTTAAGTGGTACAGTGGTGTAGTTTGTAAAATATAATCAATAGTCTCAAGAAACATAACTTCAAAACAAATAAATTGCTAATAATCATTATATACGAACAAAGCCGCGGGCACAGCTAGCTTATTCATATATTTAATTAAAATATGATTACATGCTGTGGAACTGCTTTTAAAAATGCAAAATTGATTTCAACTTATTATATGCGAAACAGATAAGTGCAAAAGAGATACAATATGAATTCCCATCGACGTTGTTATCTCTATGCACACGTAGGAAGACGCTATACTGTGTGACTCAAAGGTTTACGTTTATCATTATACATATTGCGACGGCGAACGAACTCGGTCGCGTTAAAGACAACAAAGGAAAACGTCATACAATCATTTAAATGTTTATTTTGTGAATCAAAACATCCAAACGTTTAAGTGACTGTTAGTGGCAGTGATGTGGATTTCTGGAGATGATCATAGCCATGATCAACCCGGTGCGCCCCTGGGCCGCGTGAGCACCATTTCGGAGGTTGTACCCATGGATGGAGCCAATCTGGCTACCTCTGCAGCTACACCTAATGTTGGTAACCTCAGTGTTACCAAGTCCTCTCGCGTTCACATTGGTCCGAAGTTTGTTTCTGTAACGCAAAATCTACAAAACACAGAGGTGGTTAAAGGTGAGACTTTATGTTTACTATAAATCATCGAATTTTCCTGTTACTGTGCGTTTTTAGAAACAATAAAGCATATCTTAATTGATCTTAAGATCTTTTTTGCAATATTAAGATTAAAATTTATTTTAAGTACTAAACTGGTGATGGTGATAAAACATATCTCTTTTGTTCATATTAGTTGATAATTAGGCTTCATTAATTTATTATTTCGTTTGGATACGCAAAACATTCTGCATGCGGCTGGCGAACTGTATGTGATTATTATGTTAGTCAACTTGTCTGTTTGATAATTAAACTATATGTAAAAAGATGATATTACAAAAAAGAAAACAAGTAATAAAACATATTTGCAAATTTGTCATTGTTTTCTGTCTGTACAATAACTGTGGTTGTCAAAGATATAATTATTCGCAACGTTGATTTTATATGGAATACAAAACATCGACCATTTCTGGCTGTGGCAGTAATAATACACTAAGGTATAAAAAGTTATTATCCTTGATCACTTGCAAGTTATTTGTTGTAATACAATAATGAAAATGCTGCGCGCGAACTACATGCGAAATTTATGACATCATTCCATTTGGAATCTATTTATAATTTTATATTTATATTATTTATATATAACGGTATAAACTCTTGTTACAAATACTGGCGAAATGTCCTATAGAAACAATGAGATAAAATTAATGGACTGAGTTTACCAACAAGCGAGCTCTATGCGCAGAACTCTCTTTTCTATTTATTTGCTCTATTTTTCGGTTAAGATCCACTCTATGACTCCAATACTCAAAGAGTAGATCTGTACCGAAAAATCATCTGTACCAATTGACATGAATTATACATATCTATATTCCTCATTTCCGTGCCTAAAACATTTAAGAAAATTATGAAATATATTATAAGTCAATGCTCTTTACTACGAGTGCATCACCACTTACCATCGGATGCGATATTAATCAAGCACTGCCTAAGAATAGTTAACAAATGAAATTGCAAGTTGAAAATAATTATTTTCTTACAATCATATTTGTATCGTACAACTTAACCCTTTTTCTTTATCTTTATTCAATAAATTTATCGCAATATTGCTTTTCAATAAGTGTTGTAGGTATACAATTATTTCATACAAATATTTTATAAAATTACCAGGACTTTAGCACCCAATCCCTTTGTGCACACTGCATAACATCCGTTATCGGTGATTTTGAAACTCTTTAATACCCTGGTGTCTGATAAATTTTGATAACAAAACATAAATTACCAATTCCTATAATATGTATCCTATATAAAAACCTATGAAGAGCTTCATAGGTTTTTCTTATCACCATAATAAAAGAAATAATCTTATTTGTTTCATGTACTTATATTTATAACATCTGCGTTACTAATCTGATAATACTTGTTATACTTGCTAAACAAATATTTTTCTTGATACTTTGTATCCGATTAGAAAATCGAGTTTGAATCCTTGATATTTAAAACTAAAACAAGTTAAGAAAAGTATAAATATAAGATATTGGATGTAGGTATGTAAAAGTATCCTATCCCAAAAAGTTACCTTTAACTTTTGAAATATTGATAATTGGAAATTGTGGTGATGGCTCGCTTTGACTCTTTTGTTAATTTTCTATTTATGGCTTTTGACTTTTCCTGAAATTATCTTTACTATTTGTACACTATGTTTATATCTATGACTCAAAATATAATAAATACGGTGCTCAGGTGGGTGATTGGGGTAGTTGCCAATCGTGGCAAAATCAGCCTATTGGTCTATGTAGAACAGTGGATTACAGCCTATGTGCTGGCTGCAATTTATTTATTTATTTTAAAACAGTGTACATGCTGGCTTACAGTATGCCCAAAACGCCAGCATGCTAATTTACAAATAACACTGGAATTGCAATGGATATATGGATGGATGCAAGTGGCTCATGACCTTACATTGTAGCAATCTATGGGGGAGTCCTATCTTCAGCATTGGTCTTGATGGGCTGTAATAATAATAATAATATCTTCCAGACCGAATTTGGGTCACGGTGGCCAGGGCCACCAAAGACTAGCCATCAACGCAAGACAGTATTATAGTGCCCAAATGTATGCGCAAGCACAGGTGCATTCTCTATACCCTCACTCTCATAGTCCGAAGGGATGGTTAACCAACACGATCAGAGGGGAGATCAGGCGCAGGACCAACGGCTTAGGTGCTTTCTGAGACACTGGGGTGGAACACCGCCAACTTCCTCACTCCGGGCAGCTACTGACAATTGTAGGAAAAACTCAGTAACTGATTTTTTGGCCCGACCTGGAATTTAAACCCGAGACCTCATGATCTGCACTCGTATTTACAACCAGTAGACCAACGAGGCAGTGAGCTCTAATAATAGCGATAGACATATGTAAAAGTAGTCATCCTAGAGTCTAGACTACCTTAAAGGTTTTTGAGCATTGAAATCTTTGTAACCCGAGTAAGAGTTGAATCGACGGATTCAACTCGGCTGGGCAGCGTTCGGGAAACTACGACACATCTTCTCGTTAGACATACCTCAAAACCTGAAAATGAAATTGTACAACCAGTCCATGTTGCCAGTGATGACTTACAGATCTGAGACGTGGTCTTTCACTGCTGGCCGTATGAGGAAGCTCAAGGTCGCTCAGCGAACTATGGAGAAGGCTATTCGCGGGGTTTCTCAGCGTGAAAACCATAGAAATGAGGATATCCGCAGTAGAACCAGAGTAATCGACATAGCCCAACGGATTAGTAAGCTGAAGTGTCAGTGGGCCGGCCATATAGCTCGAAGAACCGACAACCGATGGGGAAGAAAGGTTCTCGAGTGGCAGCCTCGTAACGGTAGGCGAAGAGTAGGGCGACCCCCCACTAGATGGAGTGACGACCTGGTAAGACATGCAGGAAGTCGATGGATGCAGGTGGCATAGAACCGTGCTTTCTGGCATACCTTGGGGGAGGCCTATGTTGAGCAGTGGACTTATGAAAGGCTGTAATGATGATGATGATGAAGAGTTGAATCCTTTTTACTACTACTAACTAACTTAAATTTTATTCCGACAAATAATGATTTATGTTATGGATATCTTTGATACTAAAAAACTTATATAGGGTTATTTCGCAATATATGGCCTAATTTGTAGAGAAGGTTCAGAATAAGTAATATATTAAGGGGATGGTGAATAAAAATGAATTTAAAAAAATTCAAACATTTTGTCGTCTATATCTTTTGAATTCAGAATTCCTACTATTTTATTACGCACGCACACATTCGTAAAGGTCGCTCGGTTACAAAATTAAGGTACCATGTCGCGCGCTTTCCCGCGCCTTTCTCTTCTGTAAACCATTACACCGCCGGGCAGGCTGTCAGCTGACAGTGTTGACCGTGAACTAAATACGTACAGGTGTGCTACTGCTATTTTTTAATTATCTTAAGTAGAAGTGTCGCTTCGGTACCATTGACGCAAAAAAATATTCAATCTGCGAATACTATGAAATTATGAAATTGTGCGGTATTACATTTTAAGCAATGAAATTTTATATGGTGCGTAAAGGTTATACGAAACTGAGTATTTACGGCGGCAAGAAATTAACGTAGTGTAAGAACAATTGACAGCTACCCAAACTATTCAAGTGCGGTAAGCGATAATTTAAATAGTGAATATGAAGATAGGTGGGGTGAGCGCGGTGTTTCTATACTATGGCTTGCAAACTTACAAGCAGAATTTATAAACGTTAAAAGCGCGAAGTGAAAATTGGAGTAATAATTCACATCGTGTAGTAATTAACTTAAGCATTAGTAGTAAGCGTGGCACTAAGTTAACGTAAGGCAAATACTTGAGAAACAAAAACGTGAATTGAATCGCACATATTCGATTTGGGATAACTTCAAACAAAATTAGAACATTTATTTACTCGTATTTTCAAAAACTGATATTGGTATATCATTATTTATATAAATAATTTAAAACGTTGAAAAATAACCTTGTATATCCATATAGGAATATTTAAAATATGAAGTAACAAAAATAATTCTAATTTCAATAGAGAAGATGGATGGGCGCTGCCATCTGCTTGGAATCCTATAATTAATAAAATTAAAACCAAACCCAAGCATACCACTGCAAGATTTCAAGATACTGTAAGCTCATTCTGCGTAGATCGGACCAAAAATTAATATTCAAAAATTGAACGTAGCCGGGCTAATTATGACATCGGGATGTCAAACACCTCAGTCCCCCCGTGACCATGGATTTTGCAAAGCACCCGAATAGTCGGGAATTAAAAAGTTAAATTAAACGCGATAAAATCCGTAAAAATTAGTTTTCTTCGCGTAAATATAAGAAATCATAATAACAAAAATAATATTAAGAACTGATTTGACTTTTGCGGAAAAACCAACTACAAATACCATAAAAACGTAGTAATTAGGTATATTCAATTTATATCATATTTCAACATGCTGCTACGCTGTTTTAGGTTAATGAAATTCGGATGACAAGAGTTTATTTGATTTTCATGAGTTAATTGCATTAAAGTTAACGAAACTATACCGAAAATATATACCGGAAGTTTTTGAACGTAAAAAATTCGTCTATTTGATTAATCTTACATCGCCCTCACTACCTTATCATATTTTTTATTCACACCTATCTATTAAGGGTACTCATGTCCTTATTATTTTGCAACCAATATGTTACTATTAAATTATATTGCAAATTATAATATTCACTCATGGACAAATTTATACGAACGCAAAATATCGTGTATTAAACAAGATATCATTGATATTTGTGACAATTATCTTTATTAATTTGGATTTTGCTTATTATTAATTAATTTTAGTATTGCAAACGTTGAATAACAAACGATCAAAGAAACAAAATTAACCAAATTATGAAAAAAAATCATAATTTTTTTTATAAATACTTAGGCTATAATCAGTACTAAGTGTTGCCTCCTCTAGGTCTTCAAACTGCTTACAGTCTTCTTGGCACACTCCTAATCAAGTAATCAATAAAATCTTGAGAGATTGCGTTTTATTCTTCCTGTAACGTGTTTTAAGATCTCTCAAATTAGCGGAGGCAGGATTTACTTTCTTAATTTGTTTTCCAGGCTTATCTCATACATGCTCTATGGGGTTTAACCCTAGATTCATAAACATATGTAGGAGTAACACTATTAATAAACATTCGTCTCACAAACAAACATATTCAGGTATGGTTATTTATGATTATTTTAATGAAAGAGAGAAATAAATAATTATATTGTTAACTCGTTTATTGACTTTATGGAATAAAACAAATGTATATTTATTCTGAACATTCCAGACACATCAGGCCACGGTGGTCTATATACATGAACTTTTTACAATGGTTACATTGGAACCTTGTTAATCGACGCTTTTTATAATCACACAAGCTATAAATCTTTTTATGGGTACCAGGTGTATCGCTGGTAGGCGTTTCATTCAAAACTTCTACTATCTTCCTTTTTAGGCCCCGCGTCAAAGTTGGCATTTCGCGACGGTTACGTAACCACAGTTCGGTCATTTTCTCTGAAACATCTTTCATGAAACGTCGTTTGCTTGCTGTTTTTACCCTTGTTTTACTATATTATGTACGTAAACAACATACGAGCTTATGATTGGCACATTGAGCATGCCATAGAAGTAGCACAGTGACCATCTTTGCATCTTTTTACTACAACACATACCACTACAAATTTGATCGTAGGTATCCACGGCGTCTTTAGTCATATTTTAGAACTCAATGAGGTCTGGTTTACCAGAAGATGCAACAGTGCCTTTGCAATGAGTGGTAGAAAGCAGTCATGCTTTGTCTATCATAACAGACTGTCGTTATAAACCGATCGGTTGTTCGTCATCTTGAGTTTCATTGCCGTCGAAATCTGTGGGGAATCTTCAATATTGACGTGATCCTCGATCTCGCTCAAGCCCGCGTCTCCTCGCTGAGTCGAGGTACAATCGTTATAATTCAATTCAAACAATACTCTGGTTGCCGATCTAGTGCGTCCATTTCTAAAATAAAACCAAATGATTTGACTCGGCGATTAGGGGTAATCTCAATTCTTATACATCCCTACCAGCCAGTCCATCATCAACAAACCGCCAATTTGGTTGATAAACTTCCATCTAGGGCGTCCTTTGCCGATTTTGCTGTTCACTATTTCAACATTAAATTGGTTTGTCCCTCTTTCTTCATTCATTCTTTTTACATGACCAACCCACCGAAACCTGCTTTTCTTAATCTTGGTCACAAAATCATCTTTCTCTTATCACACAATTTCTCACTCTAACATTCAGACTTAGCCCTAACGTAGATATTACGATATTATGTTAATAATAACCGCATTTCCACGGCATTTATACTACTCTCGTGCTTCTTCTGCCACTCTCAAATTTCAATTCCATTCATTAAACTGTACAATAAACATAATATCTTCAAAAAGTTTGACATATCTTCAAGAAGTGTTAAGTTTTTAAAAATAAGAATTCCAATATACATAACATTAGAGTCATAAAAGCCACATCTCTGCACTATATATTTTTTTCTCTATTGAAAGAAATTTTTCACTATATGAGCGCAGATACTTAAATGTTTCAGGCCGGTTCCTGGGCCTAGAACTGGTGTCGTCAAAGCGTGCTAGAAGGCTGCGTTGTAGCGTGGCTGTCTTCGTGTGTTGGGCCTTGCTAGTAGCCTGTGGTCTCGCCATCTACCTCATTTGCGTCGCCTTGCCAAGGCAACAGACTCGTCTAAACATAGGTAAATCGTTTACTTATCACTTATGTAGCTCCGTACTTGGCTTTTAGATCTTACTAACAATTCATTTTTCCTTCCTAACTAAGCTAGTTAAATGTGACGAGTCTTTACCTTTCTTATCTTTAGGTATATACCTACTTGGCTTTTATACTTTTATGATTTCTAAGTTCTTTTATGCAATCTCTATAACAATGTTCTGCCATCTTTAAATATTTGCTGGAGAGAATAACGTTTGCAAATTTAGCTTTTATTCAATTAAAATAATTACTTTATCTTCACTTTTACACATTCAATTGTTTTATATCACCAACCTTTAACCAAATATTATTTTATAAACTTCTTTTGGCTAGGTTTAAAGGAGCCGTGGTACCTGCGGCGAGGCGACTGGCAGGCGATGCCTCCATATAGCATAGAATTTCTCGAGCTGCCGGTATCTTATGTTATCATCGGCCACGCTGCATCTAATTACTGCAACCAACTGTACTCTTGTATAGAGCAAATGCTTCTTATACAGCAGGCATTTTTGCGAAGAGGAATGGACGACATCGGTCCTAATTTTCTAGTAGGCGGAAATGGATACGTTTTCGAGGGTAGAGGTGCAAATGTCTTTGGTGCTATGGTAAAGACTTGGAACGTTAAGAGCATAACAATAATGTTTATGGGAAATTATGTTTTAGATATGCCGGATCAGGCACAGTTCGATCACATAAACGTCCTATTAGATGTCTTAGTAAAAGAACGAGTGCTGCGATCGGACTACACTCTGTATGGCCAGTGTCAAGTACAGCCGGACACATATGCCCCCGGTCGACATATAACGGAGAGGATGAAAAACTTTCCTCATTGGAACCCTCATAACATAAGTGGATGCTTAAGTTGACGTAATAATAATTATTCTAAAATGGATTATGTATGATTACAAGATAGTGCTGAAGTTTTCGTATATTTTGTTTGAATATTTATGCCGAGTTGATATATTTTATAAGGTTGGTGAAAATCGCATAAATAACGGAAACATGGTGCTTTTAACTAGCTTTATGGCCCTTGGATTAGACTGATAAGATGTCGCACTAAAGGTGGAAGGTCTGTCTCTCCATCGCACGTTAGTGAATGCAATTTCCTACGAATTATTCATACGATACCTGATGTTATATGAAAAATATAGACTAATTTTATAATTGGTTTTCAAATAAGAATATATAATACGAGAAATAAAAATTAAGAAAGAAAAATAGTTTATTTTCTACTTTCATTTTATTATTCATATGTGTATTGTTCGAGCTCTAATTAGTTAATAAAGATGACTCTTGACCGTTTTAAGTTCTGTTAAAAATTTATGGATAATTATATAATAAAAATGAAGAGCAGTTTTTTTTATTTTTCTATTTAAGTATAGAAAAATAGAGCTACTTTGTAAAATAATTTCATAAAATACTATACTACGCTGTAAAACACCAATACCACTAAATGTGTCACTCAAAAGAAAAAATAAACCAAAGTATTGCCAGCTGTGAAATTCAATGCAAATGTGGGTGTGTCTTCGCGCAGTTAGGTTGACAATTATGTCGGCTTTCATAGTGAGTATATAGAAATATGTAAAGAAATAAATTATCTATTAATAAGAGATGTCAAATTTGCAAACCAATTAAAAAAAATTGGAAGTTAATGTTCACTTGAATTATAAATAAGCTAGCTGTCATCATCATCATTTTTTCACCCTTTACAAGTCCACTGCTGAACGTAGGCCTCCACCAAGGAATGCCACAAAGCACGGTCCGGAGGCACCTGAATCCATTGACTTCCTGCATGTCTTACCAGGTCGTCACTTCATCTAGCGGGGGGACGCCCTACACTTCGCCTGCCGCTACGAGGCTACCAATCGAGAACCTTTCTTCCCAATCGGTTGTCGGTTCTTCGAGCTGTGTGGCCGGCCCATTGCCACTTCAGCATACTAATTCTTTGGGCTATGTCGATTACTCTAGTACTACTGCGGATATCCTCGTTTTTATGTCGATCACGCAGAGAAATGCCGAGCATAGCTCACTCCGTAGCTCGCTGAGTGACTTTGAGCTTCCTCATATGGCCATCAGTGAAGGATCACGTCTCAGATCCGTAAGTCATCACTGGTAAAACGCATTTGTTGTACAATCTCGTTTTGAGATTCTAAGGTATGTCTAAAGGGGAGGGAAAACACATCGTCTTAATCTCCCGAACGCTGCCCAGGCGACTTGAATCCGTCGATTGACCTCTTAGTCGAAGTTGGACTATAGGTTAGTCGGACTATTTGTCCAAGGCCATCATATTCGTCAACAACTTCGAGCTTAGTGCTCCCACCAACTACCGGCATAGGTTTTTTTTTTTTTTTTTTTTTTTTATAGAAGGAGGGTGACAAATGAGCACGCAGTCCACCTGATGGTAAGTGGTTGCTGCGGCCCATAGACATCTACATCTATCCTCTATTACAAATCAAAATGTAGATGCGTTGTCACCCGTGAGGACTAAGATGGAATGCCTCATTTCCAGTAAAAAGGGCCTCCGGCCACCTGCACTTACCAAGCGAAACGCAGAGGTAAATCTCTACTTCACGCTGGTTTTCTGTGAGGTCGTGGTACTACCCCGGTTCGAGCCGGCCCATCCGTGCGACAGCAAAAGCTGCCGCGAGGCTCTACCACTGTTAAGGTGTGACATGAACGTTAAAAATTATTTTTATATTGTCCCTGTTCAGCTTAAGACCTATCAGTTGGTAGACACTATTGAAGTCATTGAGCATAGTGCTTAGGTCTTCCAGTGATTCTGCCATAAGGACTATATCGTCGACAAATCAAAGGTGAGTGATGTATTCGCCATTAACGTTAATACCGCATCCTTTCCAGTTCAGTAGCTTGAAAACGTTTTTCAATGCAGCGGTGAAGAGTTTCGGGGATATAACGTCACCCGGTCTTACAACTCTCTGTAGTTAGATAGGTTTGGTGCTCTGGTTCTGTACTCGGATAACCATCGTGGCCTTACTGTACAAACACTTCAGCACTTCGATATATTAACAGTCCACTTGGCACCGCTGGAGGGACTACAGCACCGCCCAAATTTCGACGGAATCAAAGCCTTTCTCCAGTTTCTCAGTACACATACGCAAGACAAAGTGGCAGATTTTACTCTTCGGTCTTTTGTAGAAATTGCCGAAGGGTATGTATGTGGTCTATAGTGCTAAAGCCTTTTCGGAAACTGGCTTGTTCGGCCTCTCAAAAACAGCACGTAGACGCGGCTCAGAAGAGAAATCGGTCTGTAGTTCTTCAACAGAGTGTTGTCGCCTTTCTTGAAGAACAAGACCACCGCACTTTTGCTCCACGCCTCAGGAGTAGTACCTCCATGAAGGACGGAATTAAAGAGCTTCTGGAGGTTTTTCACCCGTTTTCAGAAGCTCTGCTGTAATTCCATCCTCGCCCTTGGACTTGCCGTTTTTAAGGTGCTGGAAAGCCATTTTATCTCGGTCAGACTGACGTCCGGGATATCATCGGAATAGTGTCGGATAAGACTTACGCACACTTGCGTGTGGCTCCAACGATGACGTGTACATCTGCCCATAGAACCTCTCAATCTCACTCAAAATCTCAGGTGTGTCGGAAACGATGCTGCCACACTCGGTCTCTAGCCTTGACAATTGGCACTTTCTGGTAGACAGATTTCTGGCAAAGACTTTGGAGCCTGGTTCCGATCGATTGCTTCTTCAATAAGAGCAGTATTAAATATGCGTAAGTCCCGCCGCATGAATTTGGAGGTCTGTCTGTTCATTTGCCTGTATGCTATCAAATCTGCTGAAGACTGCAGCTTCATTTCCCGTCTAACAGCCATGAGATTAAGATTATGATCGCAGAGTTTTTGAGTTCTTCTGCAGCGGGTCTTGCAAAACTTAGCTCCGACCGCATGGACAGTTTTCGGGATCTTGTCATTTATATCGTCTACTGCATTGCAATCTTCTAGGCACTGAAAATGTTTTTTTAATTCGAGCTAAAAAGTTTCGGGACTCTGGATTAGAGCACGAGGGGGACGGAGCGTTGACTTCATTAGACGAGACCTCTCCATCTTTACGTTTAATTTCAGTCTGCTTCTAACCATTCGGTGATCGCTACTATTCGCACACTCGCGATCACTGAGACATCACTGAACAGTTGTCGTTTGGTTATTGAAATGAAGTCAATCTCTTTTGTTATCGAACCATAAAAGAGATTGACTTCATTTCTACTTCCTGTGGGGCCGCTTCTGGAAGAAAGAGTTAATCATGAAGAGTCCCTCTTTCTCCATGATATCGGACAGCTGCTGGCCCTTTGGGTTTCGTTGCCCTATTCTAAATTTCCCTACTTTCTACTCACCGTTCTTTCTTGTGCCTAGTTTTGCGTTGAAGTCTCCCATTGACACCGTATAGTCGGTTTTGGAGGAATGCATGGCTCTAGATATATCCTCATACATTTCCTCCGCCATCCATCGAGATGTGCCGAAGTTGGTGCGTAAACCTGTATGACCTTTAGCGAATACCGTTTGGTGATTCTGAGTATAAGGTACGCAACCTTCGTCGACACACTCCCGATCTTTACAACGTTGTTAACGAGAGACTTGTGGACGATAAATCCGACACCTCCTTGGGAAAGATGGTCGCCTTCCCGGTGATAGAACAAGTTTACGGAATCGAGGATTACCGTGCCCTCCCCCTCTCTTCGGACTTCGGATAAACCTATAATATTCCAGCGCAACTTGTCCATCTCTTCTTCCAGCTCCAGGATCTTCTCGTCAGTACTCAGGGTGCGTGCGTTATGTGTTGCCAGGTCGAGTCGTCGTTGGTAGCAGCCGAACCTCCAACGGAGATTCTTAGCACCCCCTGCGCCGCCGTTACCATGGTCGTCACCGTAGCCAGGAATAGCGGGGCCGCTAGTGACTGGGGGCCGTTTATTAGTGTCATTGCTCATGGGGTGTATAGTATATATTGCTAGCTAGCTGTATATGCATCTATAGTTTAAACGAATTTCATACAACGATAGGAAACAAGAGTAACTGTCAAAAAATATATTAATACTGAAAAAATTGCCAGTGTACAGTTAAACACATAAAATAACACTCGAATTAATTTCTATAATCGATGCTTATTTATGTTGATGAAAAAAGGAATTCTTTAATTTATGAGAACGGTAAGCAGAAGAATCAATAGGCCAGCTATATTGCTCGAAAAGCCGACAACCGATGTGGAAGGACCCTCCAGAGTCAGAATTGGGTGAGCCTCCTCTAAACCTGAATGGATGAAACACAAGTACCAGGTAGCCGATGGGTGCAGATGGCTCAGGACCGTACTTATGGCACAGCACCTATGTTCAGCAGTGGTTTTTGAGGGGCTTTTGCAATCATGATAAACTCGTACATCTTTATTTGTTTTAACCATCATTTACATTACTATTTGATTTTTTGTTTGTTGAATTTTTAGTTTTGTAAACTGCTGCTCAATTGGTCTCATCTGTTCGACTTTCTTTCATAACCTATGTTCCAAAAAATTTTAACACGATGTGTAAAGTTTTTCCTAAAAGTTTAGCTCTTTCTCTCATGTTTTACTTATCATTACATACGTTACGAACTACATATTATTAACTACTGAATAAATAGCAACACACAGTGCGATTATGTAATTTTGATGGTAATCGTTTCTCGGTGATCAAAGGTCTTAGCAATTGTGTCATATTTTATACTATGACAATCGTTTAAATCTAAAATAAAATATTATTATAAAAAAAATATCTGATTCCATTCGATTGTGATACATTTAGACAATAAAATAAAACCCAAATTCAGACGTCAAAAGGAAGATAACCAAGATTCCTACAAGCTACACAATCGCTCCGTCAATTAAGATACTATAAGCGTCTATTAAATGGTACGGTTTACAGATATGCCCTTTCCTGTGTACGTGTGGTATATTGTGAAGAACAGTTCCCGAGCCGAGAAACTCTCCTGCCTTGTTGCCCTCCTGGTACTGATCACATGTGTTACACTGATTGTATTCTTTGCGGTACAAGCCACAAATAACCCGGAGGACTATATAGACGTTGGTAAGATTTTTAATTAGTGGTTGTTGCATTTAGCAAGCTCTCAAAGAGTTCTATTTTGTCTGGATAGTTGTTTTTAATTCGTTATTATTATTTTAGAGTTTTGTTGTTATTTGCTAGTTGTCAACTTATTTGTGTTAGAATAAATGAGAAATAATTAAATTAAGATATTGGGTGGTTACCTAGGTTTAATAACGCTACTTTCGGTACATAAAGTTGGCTGAGCTGTCTGAATACCTTCTTAACGCGCAGAGCTGTACTGTGTTTGCTATAATAATGGCTGTTTTTACGTGGTAGACCCATGCTGCAGCTATATTAAAAGTACAGTTGTAGCACGAATGGGTCGGCTCGACCGGGAAAGGGCCACGCTTTCACAGATTACCAGCGTAAAATAGCAGCTTAATGCTGCTGTGTTTCGTATGGTGAGTGTAGAGAACCGGAGCCCCATTTTACTGGAAAAGAGGCATTATATCTTAGTCCTCACAGCTGACAACGCATCTGCATTTTAATTCGTAAACGAAAATAGATGTAGATGTCTATGGGCCACAGTGACCACTTACCATCAGGTGGACTGTGTGCTCGTTTGTCACCCATATTCTATAAAAAATAAAGAAAATTTTAATATTTGGAACGCCTTGAACACTACATTTTTGCTTAATTTACCACTTCCGTCCTGACTTTAAAGAGTGTTGGTGCATCTTTTAAGCGAATATGCCAAGTATTTCCTGAATAACGGACACAGTACATTTGATAAATTTAAGCAGGGGATTACAGCCTCACAGCTTCACAGACGAACCTCGGTCCTGTCTTCACTCTTTATGCAACTGAAGCAATGGCATACTTCACTACATACAATTGCCCTCTCGCCGCAATACTTCAAGCTGGTAGAACCATCTAGTTATGGTTGATGAGAAGTTGGTATTTTACAGAAAGATTACGCGCGCTTTAAACAGTGGGTATATAATATATAAAAGCAAACTCACGAAACTTACCTTCAGCCTATACCGAAAACAAGAAATACTCAAGAAAACGTTATGTTAAGTCAAACGCTTGTAGCGTTGTGCGCTATTGGTGAAATATATATATAACTATTAATGTTAATTTAAATTAAAAATTTTAGGGTTTGATGTATAAATTTGTCATTTTACATCAAATAAAATTCAAAGAATATTTTGTCTAAGAAAAAATATATTTAATTAATTTAGGTAGTTACCATCATTATCTGTAAATTTCTGACCTCTCGAAAAACGATAAAATTCTTAGATCTTAGGTTTGACAACGTTTATGAAGGAATTTTGTACCACTTCCTAAGAACAACATTCTTTTCCTTTAAGAAAATTGTCTAAATCTATATACCCACTAATATAAAAAAATAAAACGGCAGAGCTATTTTTTTTTGGTTGTTTTTTGTTAGTTTAAACACGCTAATGTCATGGAACTACCAGTCTGATTCGGATAATTCTTTTTGTATATGATAAATAGATTCATGAGGAATAGTATCTATCTAAAACTAGGCTACATTTCTCAACTGGCCTTAAATATTGACTTTTATCAAACAAGTCTAAAGAAAAAGCGCGCCGGAACTGCCTTATCTGCGTGTAATATTTAGAGATACGAAATACGAAAATACAATATTCTACAAAAATATTTATCTTTACTCCATCTAAAAAACTCCGTTATATCTACTATACATATGTTTATCTCTTACATATAAGTCACAATAAGGTATTTTGTGACAAAAAAAAACATTGAAAATTAAAAAGTGATTTATGAGGGTTTTTATTAGGTATGGCTCATTCATTCTTACGAACTAAAATTACTTCATCATCAAGAAAATTTTATGAAGATAAACTTTGCTCTTTTTAGCATGTTGTTTGGACACATAGTTTAAGAGATAATGATAAATTCAAATAAATCAACCAACACTAATGACGACGACGCGCGAACGACGCATGGTGACCGGCGAACGAACGATGTGTCATCGCGCGGCTCAGACGCGTGATATACGTGGATGAAACCGCAGGGCACAGCTAGTTGCGGAAAAAATGGTAATCAGTTCAGTCTGGCGAATATGGAGAATGACGTTGGTTGCTAACTGCAAGTCTTGTAATGTTACACCGGTTTTTCCGGTACCGGTTTTACCGGAGCAATAATAGCGAAGATCAATTAACGAGTCGGGGTTTCTCTAAGAGTTTCGCAACCTTTGTTTGAGGTTCTCCACAATAGATCTGTTATTGATACACCATATCTAAAAAACCTACAGTAGGTAAATTATACCATGAAGTGACCCTAAAACAGTCACCATTACTCGTCTATGGGTGAGCCTCGCTTTAGGGCATTGTTTTAATATTTGACATGGGTTTGTGTTATATTTTGGTACATGACCAATGTGCTTTTCGCTGGAGATTACATAATATGCTGTACAAACTCCATTTCTGCCTCTACTCATCAAAACAAAGCAAGTATCAATGCGTGCTATTTTATGCATATAGTCACCCATTTCTTGTTTTTTTTTTAAATTGCCGTTTTGGTGCAAATGTCGGTAATTGTGGGTAAATTAACGCCAAACTATGACCTAATAATTTGTTTGTTTGATAAGGATCGGATTCTACCGTTATTTTTAATTCAACGTAATTTATTTCAAGTCGAAGTTTCCACTAGGAAAGCGATTAAACCAAAACGCACTGTGTCCGCACTAAGTTGTTTAATTCTGTGTCAGGCAAGTCAATATGTGCAAAATAATTCTATGATTAAGGGTATGAAAGGCAGCTGGAATGTCCCATCATTCATTTTCTTTGTAAATGACAACTCAGAACTCGCAGATAACTATATACGAACAGAAGTTAACATGAAGTGACAAACGCACTTACAGTTTAAATAAAGACAAGTGGCTACTACAGTCCATAGACACCTGCAGCGAACTTCAAATAAAGAAGACTACAGATGCGTTTTGACACCTCTGAGGACTAAAATACCTAACAGCATGTGATAATATTATACTTGTTGTCTAAAGCCGCGTATCCACCAAAAATGTTGACAACAGTTATGTTTCCAACTGTTTCCAACAAGCGTCTCCACCGAGGGAACAAACGTTGGCGACAAGCGTACTCCTTTGATGTTGCCACCGAAAATGGAAACAAGTTTTGTTGGCAACTGTTGTGTTAGCAACAAAACTTTGGTGGAGATGCGTCTTAACTCTCTATAACCTTCAGACTACAGACAGCAGTGCGTGCACTACACATTATATTTACACGAATACGAGTATCGCGCATTAAATGAAACTACTATTACGGATTTTATCGCGTTTAATTTGACTTATTTAATTTTCGACCTTTGAGTGTTTTACAGCACCCGTGGTCACGTAGAGGACTGAGGTGTATGAAGTCCCCATGTCATGTTTAGCCCGGCTATTTTCAACTTTTGATTGTTAATTTTTGTTCCGATCAACGCAGAAATCTGTAAAATTGATTTAATTTAACGTTTTTTTTTTTATAGGAGAGGAGGTAAATGAGCATGCGGCTCACCTGATGGTAAGTGACTACCGCCGCCCATGAACAATCGCAACACCAGGGAGGGAATCGCAGATGCGTTGCCGGCCTTTTAAAAAGGAGTAGGCTCTTTTCTTGAAGGTCCCTAAGTCGTATCGGTCCGAAAAAATCACTGATGGTAATCGATTCCACAAGTAAGTCGTGCGAGGAAGAAAACATCTTCTAAATCGCACAGTGGTGGAGCGCCAATCATCCAGATGGTGTTGATGGTATCGGGAGTTTCGCCGCGATGTGTGTTCGTGAAATTTGGTGGCTGGGATTAATCCGAACAATTCCTCAGAGCACTCCCCGTAGTAGATGCGAAAGAAAATGCAAAGGGATGCAACATCTCTTCGCAGTGCCTATGAATCGAGCCGATCGGAAAGGACTCGGTCGTCGACGATTCGAGCCGCTCTGCGCTGGATGCGGTCAAGTGGAAGGAGCTGGCACTGGGGAGCCCCTGCCCAGAGATGGGAACAGTATTCCATGTGAGGCCGAACCTGCGCCTTGTAATGTTGCAGGCGGTGTGCCGGCGTGAAATACTGTCCCGCTCTGCTGAGCACGCCAAGCTTCTTAAAGGCCAATTCGGCCTTCCCTTCCAAGTGAGCACGAAACTGCACGTCACTCGATATGTCGACTCCGAGGATTCCGATACTGGCTGAGGCAAGAGGGGGAGTGCCTTGAAACTGAGGAGATACGACAAAGGGGTTCTTTTTAGCGGTAAACGCGCAATCTTGTGTCTTCTGAGGATTAAACTGGACTAGATTTAGTCGCCCCCAATCCGAGACTTTGTTCAGCAAAGACTCGACTTCAGACACAAGTTTGTTCCGATACTCGGCGACGTTTTCCCGAGAAATATTGGCACGGCCGGTGTATAGAGGATCACCAGTGCTGTCGAATGTTACCAGTTAGCAACACATCATTGATATGCAGAATAAACTGCGTTGGTGATAGCACACAACCTTGTGGAACACCAGCGTTAATAGGCTTGTAGTCGGAGCATGCACCGTCTACAACGACCTTGATGCTCCGATCTGCAAGGAAGCTGGTGATCCAATTGCACAAATTCTCGGGAAGCCCATAGGAAGGGAGCTTCGAAAAAAGAGCTTTGTGCCAAACCCGATCGAAGGCCTTGGCAATGTCCAAACTAACGGCCAATGCCTCCCCCTTAGACTCTACTGCTTCTGCCCATCTATGGGTCAGGTAGACCAGAAGATCACCAGCTGATGGACCCCGACGAAAACCGTATTGGCGGTCACTAATCAGCTGGTGATCCCCAAGGTACCGCATTAGGTGGCAGTTTATAACGGATTCCATTATTTTGGAGAACAAGGAGGTGATGGCGATAGGCTATAGTTGGACGGGTCTGAGCGATCGCCTTTTTTAGGGATCGGGTGGACAATAGCTGTCTTCCATGAATTCGGGACTACGCCTTGGGAGTAGGAGTACCGGAGAAGACGCGTTAGGACCGGTGCATGCTCCGGAGCACACGTCCTCAGCACAATTGGGGGGATTCCGTCAGGCCCACTTGACTTCTGGATGTCCAGGGAGAGGAGTGCTTTGCGAACCGAGCGCTGTGAGAACAGTACATCCGGCATGGAGCACTCACACCGCGGGATGGTCGGCGGTGTTTTCCCCTCGTCATCAAGAGTCGAGTTGGACGCAAAAAGGGAGCCTAAAGGTCGGCTTTCTCTTTTGCGGCATGGGCCAGTGAGTGGTCTTCTCTGTGCAGAGATGGTAGTGATGGCTTGCGATGCGATGCGATGACAGCGCTGGGATCATCCGGCGAGAAGCAAACCCGCCCCCATGGGTAGGATGCAAAGAAAGACCGCATTCCGTCCCAATCCGCCGACCTGTAATGCCAAACACGGCGGCAACCTGCAGAACGCAACCGCGAGGGAAGCGTGAGTGGCACCTCACTCCGGATCGGACAATGGTTCGAAGAGCCGAGAGGGGCATCAACGGAAACCTGATATCCGTCCGGATGAGAGGTCAGCAGAAGGAACAGGGAAGGTGTATGATCCTTCACATCTGGAATCCACGTAGGCAAAGTAACCAGTTGTGTCAGACCATATGCCAAGGCAAAGTCATAAACAGATCTCCCCGCATGATCGGTTAAACGTGAACCGAGCCATTCGGCGTGCTGGGCGTTAAAATCGCCAAGGGTCACGATCTCTGCGGATAAGACCAGTTGTAGCAAGGAATCTGTAGCCATTTGGACGTGGTCGATGAGTCGGTCTGTTTCGGCATTACCGCTATGGGACCTATAGAGGCACCCGTAGACGCGCGGATGGTCGTCGCTGTCTATACGTACCCAAAGGATGGACAGGTCCGAACCTTCAATACTGCCGAGGCGTCGAGAACAGATGTCCTCTCTGACATACACGCAAACTCCAGCCCGAGGCACAAAGGTGCTGCTGCTCCAATTTGTACCCCGGGTAGGAGAGATACGAAGTATCAGCCGGAGAGGACACCTGCGTCTCGGTCAGAAAGAGCAAGGCCGGCTTCGCCGTCTCGAGATGGTAGTGGACAGCGTTTAGGTTCGAGTGAAGTCCCCTGATGTTGCAGAAATTCACGGATAGCGTGGCAGGGGTCGCCTTGGTATTGTTGCTCAGTTTACCCCGAGCAGTTATGTTTTTGAGCGGAATTTTGTCCACCCCCCCAGAATACGCGGGGCAGCCTGAGCACCCACGCTGGTGGAATAACATGTCGTGGATGCTCAGCGAGGGATTCTCCAGGGGTTCTGGTACCCTCCTGGGGTAGTCTTTCGTGTAATTCTGCTACCATGTTGATGAGGGGGGGGGGGATTGTGCCTCCGGCCACCTGCACTCACCAGACGAAACGCAGAAGCAGAGCTTCTACTTCATGCCGGTATTCTGTGAGGTCGTGGTACCAACCCGGCTCGAGCCGGCCCATACGTGCAACAGCAAAAACTGCCCCATGGCTCTACCACCGTTTAAAACGTATTCTTTCAATTAAATATGAGGATTACATTTCCAGGGAATTCATGCACTGCCTAACCGATAAGTAAAGATCGTATATTAGAAGGTGATTTTTGCAAATAGTAGATATGTGGTTTTATTAACCCTGCATTTTCCCGGGAGTAAGAGTATTGTCAAAGTCCCCACTTTACCGATGCGCATGTGAGTTAGAGGTATTAAAACCAAATACAATTTCCATTTCATTCAATTTATTTTAATTTAATTTAATTTTTATGATCAAGTTCATATGGAATAGTATAAGCTATCTAGCATTAGGCTACACCCCTTAGCTAGCTTACCATATTAATTTTTATTACGCAAGTCGGAAGTAAGGGCCCCCGAACTGATCCGCGTGCTCTGGCGTAATAGTGATTTACGTATCACTATTATGCCAGAGATCTCAGAGTCTGCGACAGCATATGCCTATTTCTTATACATAAGCCACAACAAGTTAATTTTTGACAAGAAAATATGGTAATTTAAACATTTATGTGTTAATATCAGACATGGCATATTAATCCTTATGAACTAATGTTACTTTAGGTAATTTTATAAAGATAAACTTTGGTCTTTAAATCATGTTATATTTAAGCATACTTTAAAAGATAATGCAAAATTTAAATAATTCAGCACTCGGCTCTGCGCGCGAACGGCGCATAATTCTAGACGCCCGATGAGAACCGAGGGAACGAATATATTTCAGTTGCCACTAATAATATGATTTAACCAAATAATTTAACCACATGAAATTATGAAAAAAAATATTTTCTATACTGAAGTATTACAAATCATGCAATCAATCAGTAATTTCTTAAATTATACGCTGTTGAAACCGCGACCACGGTTAGTTCATTAGTATGTATAGATTAATATGCGTCATTAGTCTTGTTGCTGCTATAAATAAAATAATTATTGGCGAAAGCCGCTAAATTTAGCATTAAGATGCCTAAACGCAAAATATATTTGTATTATTAATAATAAATGTTATCAAATAATTGCATTACCGATAACTGATAAGATAATATTTTTGTAGACGAAACGATTTATTGCTTTCTTAGTTTTACTTAAAAAAGCTTATCAAAAATATTTTCGTCTGATAGTCTTAGTAAATATTGAAAGTTGTATAAATAAAGTAGCAACTCACTTTTACTCATACACCTAATATATAATTATCTGCAATATAAACGTCAACCATCCTCAAAAAAATGTCTATATCGTGTTAACATCAAAATCCATTATGGGTTTTTTTATTTTTATTTAAAGCAGATACACATCTCACACTCAGCGAGGATACGCAATTTTTTAATACTACTTAGGTACTAAGTCAACAATCAAAGCAGTGTTTGAAATGTTTTGGTATAAAATACAAAATACCAAAAAATATAGTGTAGAGCCACGCCGCAGCTATATTATTAACAGGAATGGGTCGGCTCGACCGGAGTAGGCCCATGGTCTCACAGAATACCAGCCTAAAATAACAGCTTAATGCTGCTGTGTTTCGTATGGTGAGAGTAGAGAACCGGATACCCTTTTTACTGGAAATGAGGCATTCAATCTTAGTCCTCAGGGGTGACAACGCATCTGCATTTTGATTGAAATGTAGATGTCTATGGTCCACAGCATCCATCACCATCAAGTGCACTGTGTGCTCGTTTGTCACCCTTATTCAATAAAAAAATAGCAATATAATAGATATAGACGTAGTCATTCAATTTTTACGGAGTAAAACTATTTTCACAACTATAAACATTATAATAATTTAAGCGTTTTACCTTAAGTTTTTAACCAAGTAAAATAAAACAGAAATAATAACAGAAATAGTATTTTAATAAGTGTCTATTGTGTTAAAATATTTTGATATTTTATTCAAATTAAGTATGTGATAAAATTATCTGATGCTATTTTTATATTAAATTTTTTTGTATTTTTATACCTAATGCTTGTAAACAGATGTAAATACGGTATTGTTAGAAAACGATTAATTATACGCTGAAAGTCTCGGGCTCAAAAGAAAAGTACTTAGATATTTGTCGCGAAAGAAATCCCTAGGCCGCAACGCCAGTCTTCGCGAAATCGACATTTTGTTGTTAAGGAGTCGCTAATGGGTCCAACAGACCCAGTCCTTAATACTTTGCTTAATAACTATTAAAAATCAACTTTTGCAACGTTGCCGCTCTTAAAGCCTTCTAAAAATAGTGTAGCACGGCAAATAACGACATTGGTAGTAATTTAGTTTAAAAAGTGTCAGTAGAATGTTGGAAAGTATAATTTTATTTCAAAGAAAATATTGTGTTTTTGCTATTGTTTTTTGAATATTTCTATGGTGATGGATCCCCCTTTACTTCGTATTAGTGAGTATATTATTGTGAAAGAAAATATAGAAGATTTTGTTTGATATAAGTAATTACAGAAATTTTAACGATTAACCTAAAACATGTCACAAAGCTATGAAGTTTAGTATATTTTAGTAACACCTTTGTTTAAGTAACAACAAAAAATATTATTATATGATTCATTTATATTTTTCTTTACACATATCGCATCCTTTTACATTTATAAAGCTTATGATATTATACTGGGTCAAGTGGACCAGGTAGCGAGTACTTGTGCTACAAATTAGGACGCGACTCCCTAAGTGTTAAATTCCAAACTACGTTTTCGGTTACAAAAATTCACAGGACTTCTCAAACCTACCGTAGTAAAGGCCTGATACTAATAATTATAAACTACGTAATTTTTGTAAGAAGACGTTTGCCCTAATAAATTCGATTCGATCGATTGGAAATTTAAAACTAAGCTTTTACATATTTGATTCATATCTGTTATATTTCTATTTCCGCAAAGCTCCACATGAATGGAACATATCACGTCAGATGTGGTTGGCGCAAAATTTTACTAGCAGCTCCACAACCGAGCGCTTTGATCCTGTGCGTCTAGTCATAATCCAGCACACCGTCAGTCCTGAATGCTCGCGGTTCGTTCTTTGTGCGGCAGAATTACGCAACATGCAGTCTTGGTTTATAAAGTACTACAACTATGACATTCCGTAAGTACTTTTGACTCCATTTTATTTAAGACTAGGTAGGCATTTCAATTTTACAGATGGGTATTATTATCTCATATACTCCATACCTCTTGTACGTACTGTCTTCATTAGTAGACAGTACCCATGTCAGTCTTCTCTTATGTATAATAAAGAAAATAAAAACTTAAAACATATCTTGTGCAATTACATATGTGCAACAAAACTTTGACGCATTGGTTGGGTCAAAGTACAATATCTTAAGACGAGGTTCAAAATCTTTTAACTAGAATTGTCTGAAATAAATCTCACCGACATTTTACATTTACAGATGCTCTCTTTTATATTTGATCACTAAAATTTTATTGTGCTAAGCAACTAGTTTTTTACTTATACTTTCTTCATCCACCTACACATACACACACACCCCTACATATATACATACAACAACACCTCCACACTCACATTTAGATACTCTTTAATTAATTTGTACATGGTTTTCCTTTGACTTTTTGTAATCTACTGTCACACAAGTAGCGGGTCATTCCCAACACGAATATCTTCTAATTGCTCACTGGGAATTCTCTGCAATATGCTGTAAACAATATTATCAAAATAAACGCATTATTTATTTGAATTTACATGTGAAAAGGGGCAAAGTTTGGCACGACTTCAGAGTTTTGGATTTTTTTTATAAAAGAGTTGGGATATGAACGTTATGGAATGCCTTAATAATATCTTAACCTCTCAGCAGATGGCCCCTTTTGGCTTGGAAATTATACTTTAGTAATTAATAAAGGTTTTTGTTAGGTTATGTTATTGATCAAATTTTATCACTTTGTCCAGAGTTACACTTATTTATATTATTCGGTCTTTTATATAATAAACATTTTAATTTGCACCGATCGAAAACCGAAATAACAAAATTAACAGTGAAATGTTTTTGCACGTGTGATGTATTTATTCACTATTTTTTTTTTATATTATTAGTCCAGATGTATCTTGGGAAACACTTTGATTACTATTCCCTTTTAACGCTATTACTATATTACACACATTGTATTATTGTTTGTTTATTTAGTATAATGTACGAACTCGATCCACATCGTGACACCGTAGCACCATCCTGTACCTCGTTTTAAGTAGGTACATACTATACTAAAAAAAATACCTACTTGAAACTAATCGCACCAGTAATTGTCCTGTCGACCGAACCGAATTTTTTTTTTATAGGATAAGGGGCACACAGTCCACCTGATGGTAAGTGGTTGCTGCGGCCCATAGACATCTACATCTATCCTCGTTTGCGAATCAAAATTCAGATGCGTTGTCACCCGTGAGGACTAAGATGGAATGCCTCATTTCCAGTAAAAAGGGCCTCCGGCCACCTGCACTCACCAAGCGAAACGCAGAGGTAAACCTCTACTTCACGCTGGTATTCTGTGAGGTCGTGGTACCACCCCGGTTCGAGCCGGCCCATCCGTGCGACAGCAAAAGCTGCCGCGTGGCTCTACCACTGTTAAGAATGTCGATAATTTGTAGTTTTTAAAATTTTTTTCTTTTGTATACTTTATATTTTTTGATGAGTGAGTCAGAGAATCAGTCAGTGATAAAAATGCTACTTTTCAGACTTTAATAAATCAAAAACTATAATAGTCTGGTATTCTAGTACGCGTTGGTATTGTGTTAGTAGGTATTCTGGGTTCATTCAGTGCGAGACGCCCCCTGACTAAATGGAGCGATCTGCACAAGGCGGCTGACAGCAACTGGATGCGTTTAGCCGCAGATCGCACTAACTGGCGCGCCTTGGGTGAGGCTATGTCTGTTCATAATGGCGATGATATGTTTAGTCCGCCAACACCCACTGGATCAGCGCAGCGGAATAATTGCTCCAAAACCCTCTCAGCAAGTCCTTCCACCACTCAGTACATTAAAACAACAGCGTGTGTTTATTACTTATGTTATATTGTCACCATACCGCACGCTCCATGGAATGTTATACATTCCCACTAACATCTTAATCTAAAGCCGGCAATGAGAGAATGGTGTAAACTTAAATAATTCCATTGTGGGTGTGAATTTTGTTAATTCATAATAATTAAACTTTTAGAAAAGTAAAAGCCTACTTCAAAGAACTAAAAATGTCCCACTCTTCAAAATCGTTTGACGACGTAAATAATTATCCGAACGTTTGCCATGCTTTCGCAAATTGAAAAGAGTTTTATTTTGTAATGGATCCCATGATCACTCCTGAGGCAAAAGCAAAATTATCATTGAAATTGAACAACGTGCTAAAGAATGATCGCTGAGCTAATACTAATAATAACTAATAATGAATAAATTTGTAACATACAATAGTCCTTAATTACAACAGAAGCACTGGGCAATATGCCTTTTGATGGCAAACTAATTAAATACTCTCGAAACACCTTTGAATAATTATGATAGGTAATTCTTAAACCTAGGTAATTTATTAACAAAGCCTATTCTTATTCGTATTATCAACATTATAACAAATTAACACTTAATTCAAACATAAACTGAGGGAGCCTCTAAGCAACTACATCTAAGTGTATTTATTCTATGAAAAAGAAAACTGAGCTGTAACCTTAACTAATAACCATTCAAGTTATTTTAATAATCTGAGCGTACTATGTATATTTTTCAAACATCTATGTTAAGTCGAACACTTTAAAGCATAATTATATGATTTATTTCAGCTACAACTTCATAATTGGTAACGATGGACGAGTGTACGAGGGACGAGGATGGGGAATAGAAGGAGCGCATACCTTTACTTACAATCGTTGCTCTTTGGGCATCGGTTTTATTGGTAAAATTATACACTGTTTTAAATTTAAATATTCCACTTCGAAAGTAATTAATTAAGAAACAGGTTAAAAGCTATTAAATCGCAATGACTTTGGTCTTAAAGCAGACAACACAGTAACTGAAACACTTTTGAAATACTTGGCACCTGCGATCTTCTTTTGTTGCAGGTTTTTTTTCTTAGACGAAATTTCAAAACATTACCGTGTTGTGGGGGTGTAAGATATATATCCACTAACCCTATTGGTGTCGTAAGATGTGAGAGAGAGAATCTTAACCAGTCTATGGATGGTGGCTCCGCGATTGTTGGCTACTGTGACAACTATGGTAACGGCAGCGGTGCTGAAAATCTCTGACGGAGGCTCTCATAGTCAAGACCGCGAGTATGTCGACGTATTTTATACTCATAATCACCAAACAAGTGTTCTTTAAAGGACACAGGTTTACGCACCAGCCTTGACACATCCCGATTATTTTTATAAAAGTGAGTGAAAGTGAACACTATTTCTCACTATATCATTAACACTATTTCTTCCAAGAACGAAAGTGTACACAAAGTGTGAAGGTGGGTTTGGTCGAGGTTAAGAATGCCTTTATTATGAAAGCAAGGTGACAACTTTTTAGTGATGGCTCAGTGATCGCATCGGTGAAAACGGATGGCAATCACCGAATGGTGCGAGGCACATTGAACCACAACGTTGAGTTGGAGTGGTCACGTATAATGTAGTCATCACCCCGTCCCCCTTGTTCTCTTATCTAAATCTCATTTCCAGCTCGAATTTCAAAATCGTTTTCAGTTACCCCAGAAGATTGCAATAACGATACAACAAAATAATGTAATATGTAAAAAAAGAGTGACTTACACCTACTTCCTCACTTTAATAATTTCTGTGGCTTTGAACTTGGCCAGAGCAATAGCATATAACATGTAATATATACGTCTATTGACCCACCACATTTATTTTTATACAAAAATTTTAGAAAAAAACTAAGAAGTGCCTATGTTCAACAGTTAGTACAAAGCGGACATGTTGCAGATAAAATTAAAACATAATCTTGTTCTTATCAACAGGGGACTATCGTGAAGAATTGACAGTACATTCTCGCGTAACGGAACTACAAATCAAGAGAGCTAAGATGCTCCTTGAAGAAGGTGTCAAACGTGGTTTCCTGGACACGGACTATTCTGTACTTGGCGCCAAGGATTTAAATGGATCGGCTAGTCCTGGATCAAACCTATACAACGCCATCCGGCAATGGGAACATTATGACCACATCAATAAATGGCGAAATAAAACCTGTGAAAAAATGTACGGATTTGTGCCAATTTCTTAATACGCCATTTTGATTTGCTGAAATCTATTAAGATGATTAACGCTGTACTCAAATTTTTTGAAATATATTATGTTTAAGATAATAATACCGTAAATATTATAATTACTTATAAATTAAATAATTACTTAAATATATACTATTATTTAATTACTTAATTATATTATATGTACTTAAATATATATAATATAATTACTTAAAATATGAAAAGTAATTATAAAAATTATAATTACTGAAAAATAATAAATTTATTAATTATAATTACTTTTCATATTTTACATAGTTGTTAGACAGTATTTCTTCAAATCAGAACGATACGGATGCCCCGATTACAATCCCCACCCCTAATACTAACCTTATTGTCTCGTTATCATAAGCTGTCTGCGATCCAAAAAAATTATCTTCGATTGTTTTAAGGCTGAGTAAATTAATAATTTAATTTAACTGCCTCATTTCATTTTATAAACTATCCACTGTTCTAACTAGAAAAGTAATATATCTACTATGTTGTTTTATTTTTACTTATTAAACGCATATAAGTTTATGATCTTTCTTTCTTAACACTTGACTTGAATGACTCCAATTTAAAACCTAACGAAGACTATTCACTAATAAAATACGAAAAATTAATTACTAAACATTTTAAATAATGCCATACCATTTTAAACAGTCTTTTACTAAAATTTAAATAAATTTTACTATTTCAAGTGTAATAACATCTTATCATCTTTTATCACAAGAAAATAGCCATGACACAATATGTAAACAAATAGACAGACAAATATGTCAAAAAGATTTTTGGGTTTGGGGTTTTAGATAACTATACGTTTTCAATTATCGAAAGCATAGCGTTTATACATTTAATTTATATATTTATACTGTAAGGAAAACCGTGGTAGCTCAAAAGGTACCTAAGTGCCTTTTTTGCACACTCCGTACCAACGGAATATCCCACTGTTTTTGTGAGTTAACTTCCAACGGAATATTCTCGTCGTTACAGAGCGTTCGCCATATCTGCTCTGCCTCCGCAGCAAAGGACAGGTCTACTTTATTATTTTAAATTATGTTACACAATATGTAAATACTTGTCACACTAATACCGCCAAATTTTATATGTAAAGTAGCTTGACTGGACTCAAGCTACTTTACATATAAAATTTGGAGGTATTGGTGTGACAAGTATTTACATATTGTGTAACATAATTTAAAATAATAAAGTAGACCTGTCCTTGTAGGCTGTTGTATCTTCCTTATATATTACTATACTCTTTGTGTTGTATTTAAAGTAAAATTTAGAATTTTTTCTATGGCTATTTTAAGATTAATATTAATATCTTTGAAAATATCCGAAAATTTCCAGACTTTACTCGAGCGGAGTAAGTATGTAAATTGACAGTACATAAGCAACCCGAAGTCGATTTCCGCCACAATCATTGAATTTACTGGAGTTTACTCCTTAAGGTGACACTAGTCGACATTATTTCCATAGAAATTTCGGAGGGGTTTTACTCCGCTGTTTGACAGTGTACATCCAAAATTAAACATGATATCGTTTTGTCTCATTATTAAATTTGTCTGTACGGAAACAGAATAGTAAAATAAAATGTTATTAAAAAGTTACGAGCTACCAAAGATTCGTTTTTATTGCCAATTTTAACACAACTTTGGGCGTAAATTAGTAATAAAAGAAGTGTAAAATTTCCAAAACAAAGTCGGTACCGACACAGGTAAATTATCGAAGAACTCAATAAATTTTATTTGTAATTGATTAATGCAGTGGTTTTTTCATAAAACCCCTTCTTCCAAAGGCCTTTTCGTATTTTTTTACGCGCGCATGTTACTCTGAATTATCGTGCATCTCACTGAATAATGTCTCCCCCGGTGCGGTGCGGGAGGACGATGCTTACACACACATGCACAGGCGGTGACGCGCGCTTATAAGTATTCGAGTTTTATTCGAAACGAAAAGTTTTGCTATTTTGTAATTTGGACGCCAAAGACAAAAGACGGCATGGAAATTGATATAATTGAAAGAGATGATGCGTTTTGGACGACAGACAATATTTTAAAATTTTCGTCTGTAATATAATATAATTATAAAAGTAAAAAAAGTAAAGTCTATATTCGATTACTATATAAAATTGCAACAATTTCATTGGTGCCGACGGGGATCGAACCCGGGTTGCTCGCGTAATGTGATACTTACAGCGAGCGCTAACCATCTGAGCTACCACGGCTCTCAATGCAAGTGTTATAAATAAATAAAGAATTACAAAACAGTTTAATTATTTATTAGACGACTTTTGCGGCGGATAAACAAAGTATATTATGTGGGATTTTCATAGGTACCTACTGTTATTACCTAGATACCTACAATCAACAATACAACAAAATGTCACAAAACCTCGCCGCGTCGTGACCACAAAATTGTAAACTTTAGATAGGTACGTCGGTACTAAGAAAACAATCTTGATGGGTCACTTGTCTTGATAAAAACCTGTGTTTACGTTTAGTGATATTGAGTATATATAAAAAAATAAGAAGCCAGGTAAGTAAGTATTTTTGAAAACAATTTATAGGTATGCAGACCAATTACGATTATTATCTAAATATTATAAATGCGAAAGTTTGGATATTTGGATGGACGGATGAATGGATGTATGTTACTCAATCACGCCAGAACGGCTGAAGGGATCTGGATGATATTTTGCTCAGTAGTCCGGAATTTTTTTTTTGCAAAAAAACGTTACCCCACACTAGGATTTTCTCCTGTATCGTGGAGGCAGTTTACAAACATCCAGACCCGGAACAATTATTTGTAGACCATACAAATACTTGTTCGATTGATACGAACCCGCGGCTCCCAGTACAACAATTCATTGCTAAGCCACTGCGCCATGGAGCTGCCAAATATCATATATGATACCGTTTATTCAGGTATTTCGTTGCCGTGGGATAATTATCGAGTTACACACGTTCGAAGCCGAACTCTTGAGTGATTGCTGCATGACCACTCGGGGAAAACTAAACATAATAAAATAAGCAATCTATATTAGGTATATAGAGCCACAGACGTATACCTAATAATTTCGTGGATCACCCGCGTCATCACGTGTCCGAGATGCGTGGCATGACATGACACCTAGTTCAAGCATTTTATAATTGCAATCAAATATTTTATTTCATTAGTATGGAAAAATTGTCATGATTAATGGAGTACTTTTATTTTATCTGTCGGCATATTATGCGCGGTTTTTTCCAGTTTTAAAGAAAAACGTACACGATACATGAAAAGTGTGTAGGCAAGAAATGATTCTTGATAAATTTGCTATCAACCTCTTATACTTATTAATTAATTAAATTTAAACTTTCAAAATACCATAGCAACGTGAAATGAAAGAGTTCAAAAATAAAGATGTAACTAATCATTGCTACGCTCACCCGGGAGATAGATAAAAGTACTCAATTAATTTTGAATTTATTTTAGCTACTAGCTGTACCCCGCGACTTCGTCCGCGTTTAGTTTAGGGCGTTAATATTGTTGCAAAGACACCTAATAATTTTTCTAAAATTTAAGCAGGCTAAGTTACTTCTTATAACATGAGCTATCTACTAGTGAAAGTCCCGCCCAAGTCGGTCCAGCCGTTTTGGAAATTAACCGCAACAAACAGACTGACAGACATACAAAAATGTTAAAAATTGTGTTAATGTTATAAGTACCGTATACAGTTTCATACGCAATTAGTAAAAAGCTGTTATTTTGACATTACAAACAGACACTTCAATTTTATTTATTTGTGTATATATAGATAACGATTGAACTAACGGCTAACCTAACCTCGCTCATAGAAGCTTTCAATACTGGCTTCTCAGTTCGCACCGGGCTAGGGGTTATGCGTTGTTTGCGCGTCAAGCCAAGTAGGTATTGAATTATTTTAATTTTACATTATCTCTTAAACTATGTACTATATAAACATGGTATAAAGAACGAAGTTTATCTTCATAAAATTGTCTTGATAATGAAGTAGCTTTGGTTCGTAAGGTGCCTAATAATTAAATTTTCATTTTTTTTGTCACAAAATGCCTAATTGTGGCTTATATATAAGAAATAGTCATATGGTATCGCGGACTTTTTTTAGACGGAGTAAAGATCTATATTTTTCTAGAACATTGTATTTACGTATCTCGAACCATAACAGCGCTTTTTCTTCTGACTTCCTTACTGAGATATATAGCCTAATGCTGTATAGCCTATACTATTCAACATGAATCTGGCTATAATATCCAAAAAAAGATTTTTCAAATCGGACTGGTAGTTCCAGAGATTAGCACGTTTAAACAAACAAAAACCCTCTTCTGCTTTATTATATTAGTATAGATGTTGCATCGTGTTCGTGTAACTTCGTTTTTATTCTAACGGTTCGGAACACCGTACGAACAAGAAATGCGTGAATACTAGTGTCGATATGCTCATCACTGATACTATCTCTGTCGGGCACGATGCCAGGTGAGACAGCGTGCTTTTTGGCCGCGCCCACCAGCGAGTTCGAGCCCGCGACTTGTGCCACCTTAAGAATCAATTTTCATATATAAGCCAGGGGCATAGACTTAGATAAAACAAACCTTGTCAGATTCAATAAAAGATGACTAAATTCATATTGAAAAAAATGCACGACATGAGTCGTGCATTTTTTTTCAAGAATGAGATTTCTATGAAAAATGAAGACTACCGCTGTGACTTCTTAAAAAGTTCAAATTTATATTTTGTGTTTAATTTAATTTGAGATTAAAACAAATGTAAAAAAACATAGACTTATAAAAGTCTTACACATGGCGAATCATACTGAAGATGATCAATTATACTAAAAACAGTTTGATAGACTTTTTCAAGTATTATATCCCAAATATCATCATTAATGTATAACTGACACAATTTTATCAGCTGGCTAAATGATTAACTATAATTTTTTATCTCAGATTACTAAATTTGTAATGTCACTAAGTGAATATGCGCCGCACTATTTTGAACTTCTTAGATTAGTGGACTTTAAAGTACTTACTACACTTCTTTTAATATTGTGAAAATTTCATGTATCAAGTCCTTTTCTATCCTTCTAGTTTTAATTACAGAAAGTAGATATGTTTGGATAACAGTTCTGAAGAAGGCAACCAGGAGTGTTGTTTTACAAAATTGAGTAAAATACCGAGTTCCTAATAAACATAATACATTTTGGTATTATTTTAAAATCTACATCATTTATTTATTATAATTTGAAAAATGCGTCACAGTCATATACGAAAATATCAGAAGATAAACTAATTCCTCCTCAACATTATGGAAATTCTGAATAAGTAGTCCATTGTTCACTAGGCTTGGCGTTGATAGATTTGCCAGTTTCCTGTGTTACATGTTTAGATAAGATTAACTTTTAATTACAGACACGACATTGAGGTAGAGTTATTGCAGAGGCAGGAAGCAGCACAGAAATCAATTTCAAATAAAAGATAAAAATATATTATGGCTTTTTGCTAGTTAAGGCTATTTAAGGCCATGCTCTTCTATAAAAAGCTGCAAGAAATTTTCAATAACGGATTTCTTGGCTTGTTCTATTATTCATTTAATTAGCGAAAAACAAGATGGACTGATGGAAAAATTATTTTCTTGAGTAAAAAGTGTTATTTAGCATTTTGTACATATGATAATTAATGGTTTGATGTCAACAGGTATGCCATAGCAGGTATGATATCCATTGGTAGCGGCCACATTTGGAACAATTTTCAGCGACACTAAGCCTACAAATTAAATAATACCAAAGCCGGCATCATTTTCGGTTCAGAAACCAGTAAAGTGTTGCTTAAGGCTCTATGAATAACGCAGCTGGTAAAAATGGTATACCCAAAATTATTAACAAAAATTATTACTGTATACGGTCATATAGAAAAAAACTATTCCATAGTATATCAGGTGCGGGAGCTATCATTAGAAGGAGAAGAGGTAAAATTTTGTTTTAGAGTTGCTCAATAAATATTGGTTTGTCCGAAATCGTACATAAAAAACTACAGCCAAAGAGCACAAATGGCATTAGAATTACTCAAGCCCATCAACTAGTATGGAAAAAGAAATAATTGTACAAGGTTCCAAAAATCTGTAGATCCGTATGTGCCTACATATTGATTTATATCTGTCGGTGACTCAGTACCTATATAAGATCCTACAGTTACGCCAACACCAACAGGAGAGAATCACTGTTTATCATTATAATTAATAATAGAATATCATAATAAGTTATTGCAAAGCTTTTGTGATACAATTTAAAATAGTTACAAGCTTATGTACAAGATACCCAATACGTCACCGGAAAAAATAAACTAATGAGTTTGCGTCACTTATTAAAAAGGTCACAAGGTCTAACAAAAAACAAAAAAAATGTAAATAGGTTTAGGACCTGATTGACGATATACAGCTGACACTGTATTATGCTTTTGGAAACCACGCCAGTTATAAACAAAACTTCTATGAAAAAAATGGTGTAAACAAGTGGATTAGGAACAAACAACATCTTTCATTTCAAATTTTGACCGAGTTGTAAGTAGAAGGCCAAATATGCTATGTGCTAATTTAATAAAATATATTTTATATAAAAGTTATATTAACTAAGTTTCATCAATTTTACAATTATGTTTACAAGAAATAATATCAGCTAAACCTCGCAGCTTGTTCTTTATTTTATTTATAAATAGGTACCTATAAACGAATATTTTAATAAATCATTCCCATAATATTTAATGTAACTTTTTATTAAGCTCTGTCTAAAACATTCTAAGCTCTATAGAAAACGTGGCGTATGAAATGACTGACAATCACTGGAACATTTTACCAAGGCGGCACGAAAGTCTAGCGGTGACTGTTATTGCGCATAAGTCTGAGCATTAGAAAATAATAAGTAGGAAACAACAAAAGATATTGGAAATTTCAAAGGCCGGATTCATTGACAAAAATAAAAATTGTTTAACATAGCAAGTGGATAAGATTGAAAACCTGTTTCTTGTTAATTTTAGTTTGACCTCTCTATTTTGGCCATAATCTCTCATTTTTTTCAATATTTTAAGATGTACTGCAAAATAAAACAAAAAGCTTTTATCGAAAAATTACGCCCTTCAGTAATGAAATAGCAATAACATTTTAGTTTTATTAAAAATTGTTTTTTGTTTTATTATTTTTAAATCTTCATTAATTGCAATATTTTTCAAGTCAATGGACATCAAGTATGTATTTTTTTAACACCACAGCATCTTAAACTTGGATGAAAAACTTTTTAAAAGTTTTTATATTTTTTTCTTATTTCTTAGACATACAGGTTTTCTCACGATGTTCTCCTTCACCGCCGAGCACCTGGTAAGTCAGCACTTAAAATTGCAATTAACAGTTTCATTGGTGCCGGCGCGGTTCTAACCCGGGTTGTTCGGAAACTGAGATTTACAATGAGCGTTTAGTCCCTGAGCTACCACGGATCTACCACGATACAAATAAATACGATTCAACAAATGTAATAAAACACTAACGTACTTAAAACTTAAACACTTGATAGCTCGTGATGCCTACCGGACGAGGCTACAGCAGCACACTGTGCGATGGAATTTAACACGCTTCACACCGCGCACGTGACATTACGACTCTCAGTGGTGCGCAAACATAATAGACAGTATTCCACTTATATACCTGTTACCTCTGAAATCTATTTATCTTTGCACTCGTCTAAGTAGTACTGAATGTAGCCGCTAGACGGAGTTGACGTCGGCTAAAATCTATGCGGTCGCCGTTTTGTTAAGGTCATTCAGGCGTCTACCTTAACAATTATGTTATATTTTTCACTATGACAGCATTTTGAACTTAAAATAAAATATTATCATAAAAAGGTATCCGCTTGCATTCGATTCTGGTACATTTACACAATAAAATAAAACCCAACTTCAGACGTCAAAAGGAAGCTAACCAAGATTGCTACAAGTTACACAATCTTTGATTTTGGTGATGAAGATTTAGGTGCTACAAGCGTCTATTAAATGGTACGATTTACAGATATGCCCTTTCCTGTGTACGTGAGGAATATTGTGAAGAACAGCTCCCGAGCTGAGAAACTCTGCTGCCTCGTTGCCCTCCCCGTACTGATCACATGTGTCACTCTGATTGTTTTATTTGCGGTACAAGCCAATAATAACCCGGAGGCTCTACATAGTGTAACCGTTGGTAAGATTTTTGACTAGTGGTTATTGCAATTAGCAAACTCTCAAAGAGTTCTGTTTTGTTTGGATAGTTTTTTTTTAATTTGATATTATTATTTAAGAATTTTGTTTTTGTCAACTTATTTTTATTACAATAAATGAGAAATAACTAAATTAAAATATTGCATTGTTGCATACCTAGGTATAATAATGTTTCTTTCGGTGGTGAAAACTAATTTGCCTTTTTTATAGAATAAGGGTGACAAACGAGCACACAATCCACGTGATGGTTAGTGAATGCTGTGGCACATACACATCTACATACATTTATCCTCAATTAAGAATCAATATGCAAATGCGTTATCACCTCTGAGGACTAACATGGAGTGCCTCGTTTCCAGTAAAAAGGGTCTCTGGTTCTCTACACTCACTATAGGAAACACAGAAGCATTAAGCTACTATTTTACGCTGGTATTCGATATGAGCGTGGTCCCACCCCAGTCGAACCGACCCATTCGTGCTGCAACTGTTCATACGTAAAGTTGGCTAAGTTGTCTGGAAAGCGTGCGGTGCTCTACTGTGTTTGCTATAATAGTGGCAGCATTTTTTAATATTAGGTACGCTTTAAACTGACTGAATGACTTTAAGGAGTTTTGGTGCATTTTTAAACGAATATGCCAAGTATTTGGTTAATGGACACAGTACATTTGATAAATTTCAGCAGGGTATTACAGGCATGGAGACGAACGTTGGTCTCGTCTTCACTCTTTGTGCAATTGAACCAATGGCATACTCTTACATGCAATTGCGCTCTCGCCGCAAAACTTCAAGCTGGTAGGATCATCTAGCCGAAACCAAGAAATACTCAACCTTTTTGTTTAAGAAAAAATATCTTTGATTAATTTAATTATTTACCGTCATTTTCTGTACATTTCTGCCATCTCGAAGGACGATCAATTACGAGTACATACATCATTGCGACAAAATTTTTTAGAACTTACGTATTTTCTTGGCTTTTATACTGTTATCGATTTCTAAGTTCTTTAATGTAATCTCGGACTATTCAATTGAAAATATTATTTTAACTTCACCTTTACACGTCTATACATATAATAAATCTGTAGGAAAATTGTTTGTTCACGATTTACGCAAAAGCTACTGGACAGATTTCCATGAATTTTTGTATGTAGACAGTAAATGACCGTGTATAACATATAAGCAACTTTTTATCCGCTTACGGAAGAGTAAAAGAAGGGTTGTTTTTCCCATTTTTTTTTAGTTTATTGTCATTATGCCTGCTGATGGTTCTATTAGTCCTAAAATTGTCATCTTATTGTTTGCACTTGTGTGAAGGTTATGGTACAATTAACTTACAGTGAGTGGCGCGCATGTTGTATCGACAAACTTATTAGATAATCATAAATATTCAATTTCAATGAATGTATCATCTTTCCTAATTAAACAATATAACTCTTTCAAATATAAAATTATATTTTTAGAATTATTTCTTCTGTGGCTGCAACACGCTAGTTAAATATAATATATTTGTTATATCACCAGCCTTTATCTAAAGGTTAATTTATGAATTTCTTTGGTTAGGTTTAAAGGAGCCGTGGTACCTGCGGCGCGGCGACTGGCATGCGATGTCTCCACATAGAATAGAATTTCTCGAGCTGCCGGTATCTTATGTTATCATCGGCCACGCTGCATCTCATTACTGCAACCAACTGTACCCTTGCATAGAGCAAATGCTTCTTATACAGGAAGCATTTATGCGAAGAGGAATGAATGACATCGGTCCTAATTTTCTAGTAGGCGGAAATGGATACGTTTTTGAGGGTAGAGGTGCAAATGTCCTTGGTGCTATGGTAACTTCTTGGAACAAAAAGAGCATCACAATAATGTTTATGGGAAATTACGTTGTAGATATGCCAGATCAGGCACAGTTCGATCACATAAACGTCCTCTTAGATGTCTTAGTAAAAGAACGTGTGTTGCGATCAAATTACACTCTTTATGCCCAGTGTCAAGTAAAACCGCACACATATGCCCCCGGTCGACATATAACGGAGAGAATGAAAAACTTTCCCCATTGGAACCCTGTTAACATAAGTGGATGTTTAATTTGAAGTAATAATAATGATTTTAAAACGGATTATGTATGATTACAAGATAGTGTGAATTTTTCATTATTTTGCTTGAATATTTATAGCGAGTTGATTATATTATAAGTTTGGTGAAAATCGCATGAATAACGGAAAACATGGTGCTTTTAAATTGCTTTATAGCCCTTGGATTAGACTGATAAGATGTCGCACTAAATATGGAAGGCCTGTCTCCCGATCGTGCGTTAGTGAATGCAATATCATACGAATTACGCAATTGATATTTCATTCACGCACGAAATAAAAATAAATGATTTACAAATACTATAATACGAAAAATAAAACTATATTAAACATAAAAATAAAAAATAAATGTTTATTTTCTGCTTTCATTTCATTATTCATGTGTGTATTGTTCGATCTCTTATTAATTAGTTAATAAATATAACTCTTGACCGTTATAAGTCCTGTTAAAATTTTGTGGATAATTATATGATAATATCAAAAGCAGTCTTTTTTTAATTTTTCTACGTGTAGAAAAATAAGACTACTAAACTACTACTATTAAAAATATGTATAAACCAAAGTATTGCCAGCTGTGAAATTCGATGCGAAATGGGTTTCGCGCTGGTGCAGTTAGGTTAACAATTATGTTGGATTTCTTTGTGAGTATATAGAAATATTAAAAGAAATAAATTATACCTTAGTAAGAGAAGTGAAATTTGAAAAACAAATAAAAAAATTGGAAGTTAATGTTCACTTGAATTGTAAAAACGCCTAGCTATACGAGTATATGCATCTAAAGTATAAACGAATTTAATTGTATAATAGGGAACAAGAGTAACTATCAACAAAAATTAATATTAATACTAAAAAAAAATACAATATACACTTAAAAACACATAAAATAACACTCGGATTATTTTCTTTAATCGGTGCTTATTTATATCGATGAAAAAAGGAATTCTTAAATTCATGAGAACGGTAAGCGGAAGTGGCAATGGATCAGCCATATTATTTGAAAAACAGACCACCGATCTGGAAGAAAAGTTCTCGAGAGGCAGTATTGGGCGAGACTTTTCTAAACCTCACCTGATGAAACACACAAGTGCCAGGCAGCCGATGGGTACAGATGGCTCAGGGCCGTACTTTATGGCTCAGCACCTATGTTCTGCATTGGACTTTTGGTGGGCTGTTGCGATATTGACAAACACATACATCTTTATTTATTTTGTCACTCATTTAGATTAATAATGGATTTTCTCTTTGTTTAATTTTTAGCTTCGTAATCTACTCTCCATTTGTTTCTTCTGTTCGACTTTCTATCATAATTTTATTTATTTATTTATACTTTATTGCATTCCTTAATCTAAAAGAATACAAAGGGCGGACTTGATGCCTTAAGGCATTCTCTACCAGTCAACCCATGCAGTGGTGAGAATTTGAAGTAGGTGTAGCAATACAGAATAAAAACAAAATAAAAATAATAATTAATTACGTTACATATACATTTTACTAATATACACAATAAACAAACTATAAAAATATCTCCTACTTATACATGTATACAAATATATTCATACATACATAGGCATACATCTATTCATATTAACATACATATACAAATAGTACATATAAATAACTATGAATACATACGTCTAAAAATATAAATGTCATGGATGATTCGTGTAAGAAGCGTTGTCTTTAAGGCCTTAACAGTGGTTGAAATGCCTAAATCTAGGATATTTAAGTAAAAAAATCAAAAAACTGTTCATTTAATCCACAAAGAAAAAATACAGGGTAACAGAAGAAGATTTGACAAATGTTTTTAATTTAACAAAATTGTATTTTTGTCAACCCATTATTAGAAAAAAAATCCCCAAAGGGTACCTATCTTTGTCATATTTTGCAAAATTTCTCCAAAACGGCACGAGCTTTTTAAATAGTTCTTACACTAAAAAAAAGGTCTTAAAAATAATAATATTTTTAATTGAGAGTTTTATTTTTATTACCCGTTTTATAAGAGAATATATCATTTTTCCCTGAAATTGAATATATTTACGCGAGCGCGCATGCTCCGTCGCCATGTAAGCTCTGTCACAGTCCGTTTTCGGACATCGTCGAGGGTGGATCGCACGTCGGTGTTGGAGCGACTTCGTTCAAATATATATTAGTTTTTTAAAAGTTTATACTCAATTATAAATATTTTTATGACTAGAAATACTTAATTTAGTTAATATCTGTACACTGGTAACTGTAAATATTATTTTCTAAATAAATGAATTTTTAAAGTGCCCAAAGAAGAAGAAATTTTTGCGGCGACTTTGATTAGTGAAATTGAAAAATGCATTTATATATTTAGATGTGGAACGACGAACATGCTCTCGTTACTTAGATTTCGATAGTTTTTAATACCTATGTAATTTTATTGTTGCATATTTTTATTAATTAGTTGATACTGAATTTTATAATTATGTATTACAATAAAATGCTGTTTTTATGAGTATGACTTTATAAAATATTATTAGGGAGGGAAATAAAGATACAGATACTTACATTTAGGTACACTGTTATCAAATTAAATCAAACAATTTAAATAAATAAAAGAATGGTGCTTACCTAAGTATAAATGACTATATAAAGACATTCTTGGGTTTATGGTTTTTTCATGTTAGACAAACTATCATCTAAAAATGTAAAAATTTTAAATTGGAGAGGGGTTTCGCTACGTGATAAAGTTAGAAATGAAGATATTTGCATTAGAACCAGAGTAACTGACATAGCCCAACGGAATATTACAATGAAATGGCAATGGGCTAGCTATATAACTTGGAAAACAGATAAAAAATAGGAAGAAAGGTCCTCGAGTGGCAACCTCGTACAGGTAAGCGAATTAGTACTCAACCTTTATTCCTCTTCACGTATTCTCATACGCTTTTCTTCACACATACACACACACACACACACAAACACGCACACACACACACACACACACACACACACACACACACACACACACACACACACACACACACACACACACACACACACACACAAACAAATAGGTCGCAAATAATACTTACCTAGTACTATTAGGCAAGAGTGAATAGGTTTTTGTTAAGTCAGTGCAATTCACCATCTTAGACTACATAACCACTTACCGATGGGATTGTAGTTGCTTTACTACTTGCTGGATAAAAATAGTAAAAAAAAAATTCACCCTGAGAAAGTTTGCATTCAGATATAATTTCTCTAACCAACCATAAAAATATGATGAGAATATGTATATAAGTATAAGGTTGCCTCACACGAGATAGTGATAATATAATATTATATCTTCCATTATCTACGCATGAAAACTTAAAATCTCTGAATCCCGAGGTATGTTCATATTTATAGAGCCACATTGAAATGCATGGGGATCGTTTTGTAATTTCACGTCATTATCGAAAAAAAAATGTACATATTTCAGGTGGCGGTTTGCAAAACACGATTCCACAAAAATTAACGCAATAGAAAATAATTGCTAAGTTGCTTCTAAAAATACTTAAATTTTCAACGTATATTTTTTCTTACGTGGTAGAGCCATGCTGCAGCTATATTAGTAGTAGGTATAGTTGTAGCACGAATGGGTCGGCTCGACTGGGGAAGGGCCACGCTCTCACGGAATAACATGTAAAATAGCAGTTTAACCCTGCTGTGTTTCGTATGGTGAGTGTAGAGAACCGGAGAACCTTTTTACTGGAAACGAGGCATTACATTTTAGTCCTCACGGGTGACAACGCATCTACATTTTGATACGTAATCGAGAATAGATGTAGATGTGTATGGGCCGTAGCAACCACTTACCATCAGGTGGACTGTGTGCTCGTTTGTCACCCTTATTCTATTAAAAAAAACTTTCTGAGATTTCAGTAAAATAATGTTAAGTATTGTAAGCACTCGTACAATTATGTCTCATGTTAATAAAGCTATTGGGCTATTTTGATTTGTAATAAAGTGATTTTACTTTATAGGTTAAATAATTTATTTACCTTTCTATATCAAGAACCGTTTTTCTGTTACTCCTATTGAATTTGACAGTGCTCGCTGAAATTTAGCATCTTTAGATGGATCAGAATCGGCCGCTGATCCGGCTGTTAGATATTGCAAAAATAACCGAAAATATTTATTTTTACTTTCATGCCGAAGACTACCTTGTTTTATTTTATTACGCTCAAATAATATTTATTAGGTCATAAAGCAAGTATTTTTGTAAATGTTTTGTATGTAAATGTAAATGTTTTCATTATTTTGTTATTCTATTGTTTACAGTTATTATCACGTCTTAGCTTTACATCAAGAATTACATTAAAAATTCTTGATGGGATGCGAAGTAACGCGCATACATTATTTTCATCAAGAACTATAATATATATATTTGTTTTTTACCAGTAGAGTTTCAACAAAATCTTAAAAAAGTTCAATGAATTAAAAAAATGCCAATAATTATATAATTTCAAGTCAGTGTTTTACATTTAAAGATCAGTTCTAAAGAGCCAATGTTATTATTTTCATTTTGATTAATTTAATTCGAGACTAAAATAAATGTGAATGGGCTTTTATCTGCAATAATAATTTTCATCAAAAATAACATAGACTTATAAAAGTAATATACACGGTCAATCATACTGAAGATTATCAATTGTACTACAAAATATTTAAAAGACTATTTCCAGTATAATGACCCGAATATCATCATTAGTGTTTGACTGGCACACTTAAAAGTTTTATCACATAGCTAAATGATTGACTTTTATATTATGATAAGGTCATGCTTTTCTATAAAAAGTTGCAAGAAATTTTAAATCATGGCCCTATTGGTTTGTTTTACTTTTTACTTAATTAGTGAAAAACAAAATGGACTGATCTCAAAGTTTACTTTCTTGTGTAAAAAGTGCTATTTAGAATTTTATGCAAATGATAATTAAAGTTTCTATGTAAATAAGTGTAACATAGCGGGTATTATATTCAATGGTAGCGGC